CCTGCCGGGATCTTTCTCCTCAGACCAGACTGTCCCCTCTGTGAGACAAGACCGCAGAAGAGCAAAAGAACACAGTTTTACAGTTCAACAGCTTAAGTTCCATCTCCTCACCGAATCCCTGAACTCTGATGGGTTACAACCGTTGCTAAGCATTGTGGGGGTTGTAGACTGCTCTCCACTCCCACACAGGCCTCTCCTGGGCCCTAGGTGTAATGTATTCTGTGCTGCCTAGAATGCATTAAGATGGTCGTGAATCATCTCATAAGGAAGCAATGTTAAGCTTCGTCTTGAACAGGGATTGAAGTTCAAGACTACTGCGTCCCATCAGGTTCAAATGTGTATAAGCGGGAAAGACTCTGATTGGTCCTTATTGTCTCAACCTGATAGGTTGTTTAACTGTATAGTAGGCGTGGCTATATTAGCCGGGAATGTTTAAATACCGAGCAGCTGCAATGGGAAGCTGTTCGGGCTATCAGAGAAGTTGTACCGTGTCAGAGAAGTTGATCGTCGAGCTGAAATAAACCTGAGTTTTGCTGAATCACTCTCTGGCTATTTTGTTAAGCACGGACTTAACAATTGGCCACGAGGATGGGATCCTAGAGCGGGTAGGCAGCCCCGCTGGTCCCAACCCCACGACGGACAACAGCGAGCCGCAGCTCGCCGTGGCAGAGCAGCAACAGGCACCACCTGAGCAAGTGGCAGCGATTGCAGCTATGGCCAATAGCCCGAAGTTCGAGGCCTTCGAACCAGCAACCGAGGACTGGGACGCCTACCTGCTGAGGTTCGGGTTCTACCTCGAGGCAAATGACATAACCACCGAGGAGAAGAAGCGGGCCACCTTGCTGAGCTCTTGCGGTAAGAGCGCTTTCGACATCGCCCGGTCCCTGGTCGCACCAGCGGACATTACGACAGTGCCCTTCAAAGAGCTGACAGAAAAGCTGAAGGCACACTTCTCCCCGCAGCCGTCGGAGATCGCATGCCGGCATGCCTTTTATAAAAGGGCTCAAGCTCCGAACGAAACTGTGGCAGAGTACGTGGCGGCTCTGCGTAAAGCTGCAAGGCCTTGCAACTTTACCAACATAGAGGAGGCTCTCCGTGACCGGCTGGTATATGGCATGCGAGATGAACGACTGCAACAGCGGTTGTTCGCGAAGAAGACCCTGACGTGGGCCGATGCCTATTCTGAGGCCGTCGCTGCCGAGGCCGCGGACAAGTCGACCCGGGAGGTGAGACAGCGTTTCGCCACAACAGAGCTGCGTGTACACCACCAGGGGGCCGACGCTGCGAGTGAGGGCGCTCCGGATGACGTCTGCGCTGTCAGCGGACAGGCGAACAAGCGGACCCCATCGAAGACTACGAATAGCCCATCGTGTTCTGGCTGTGGCGGGAAGCACCCCCGAGAGCGCTGCTGGACCAAGGACATCGACTGCAGGGCGTGCGGTAGGCGGGGCCACATCGCTCGTGCTTGCAAAGCACAGAAATCCCTCCAGGCCATACCAGGCCCCGCCTCCCAGTCCTACACAGATCATAACACACACCCCCACCAGACCAAATCATGGGGTCCAGCCATCAGGAACCCCATTGATGAGGGCTGCATAATAGTGATCTGTGCCAGTACACAAGAGATACTAGGAGGAGGAGGAGGAGGAGATTGGATTTATACCCTGCCCTTCACTTGGAGTCTCAGAGAGACTTACAAACTCCCTTCCCCTCCCCACAACAGACACCCTGTGAGGTAGGTGGGGCTGAGAGAGCTCTTTCCAGAACTGTCCTTGAGAGAACAGCTCTGACAGAATTATGGCTTGCCCAAGGTCATCCAGCAGCTGCAAGTGGTGGAGTGGGAAATCAAACCCGATTCTCCCAGATTAGAGTCCACGCTCTTAAGCACTACACCACACTGGACAATCTTTACTTCCTTTTCATCCTTGATTGCAACATAACTTTTTGCATCTTCAACAATGACAGACCCAGAGAGAAAACTATACTGTCCATTACTCTTGGTAGGGGTGGTGGGGGTGGAAAGTGCCATCAAATCACAGCTGACTTATGGCAACCCTGAGGGGTTTTCAAGGCCAGAGATGCTTAGAGGTGGTTTGCCATTGCCTGCCTTCGCGTCACGACCCTGGTACTCCTTGGAGGTTTCCCATCCAAATGCTAGCAGGTGCCAACCCCACTTAACTTCCCAGATCTGATGAGATTGGGCTAACCCAAACTATCCAGGTTAGGGCTCCATCACTCTTACATAGATAATTAAAGGAGAACAATTACATGAGTCCAAAAAATCATCTTCCCTAAAGCAGGTCACAAGCAAGGAGGCCTTTCTAAGAGGTTTATTTATTTATTTATTTATACTTCTATTTATACCCTGCCCACCCTGTAAACAGGCTCTGGGCGGCTTACAGAAGATGGCAGAGTATGCCGAGTTAGCATAAAACCATAAAATATTAAAATAATATAAAACATTCTTAACATTACAACAACAACATTTAAGGTGCTTGCAGTATTAACATAGATGGCGTGAATTTCCATTTCGGCAATCTCCTGATCTTAAAGCCAGTCCTATGGTCCAGATATTAAATGGCGTAGTCCATAGTGGGCCAGTCCCATATTCCAGATGTTCAATGGAATAGTTGGTGATAACGGTGCTGGCGGCAACTCCAATCAGTTCAGTTTCTCATATTTATTTTAACATTTATCTCCTAAATAAAGACTTATTTCTTTTGTTTTGCTGTCCCACTTGATAAGGATGAACATTCTTGGCTCACTCGTGATCTGATAACCTCAAACACCATACAAAGTTACCTATTCTTGATTATCTTCTTAAAATACATAAAATTGTGGTTTTTTCATTCTTGCTACGTTTTAGAAGAAGAGTTTGGATTTATACCCCGCCCTTCACTCAGAGTCTCAGAGCATCTTACAAACTCCTTTCCCTTCCCCACCCCACAACAGACACCCTGTGAGCAATACTCCCTCTAAGCTGAGTTAGCGTGACCTAGGTCACAGTTTTTTTAGCTCCCAGCTCACACATTTTTGTCACAGCTCACACATTTTTGGCATAGCTCAGGAAGGATGGCTCCAGAGCAAACTGATTTATGCAGTAGCCAAACCGCTTGCTCACAACTTTAATGACAGTAGCTCACAAAGCAGAATTTTTCCTCACAAGACTCCACAGCTTAGAGGGAGCATTGCCTGTGAGGTAGATGGGGCTGAGAGAGCTCTGAGAGAACTGCTCCTGAGAGAACAGCTCTGACAGAACTATGGCTTGCCCAAGGTCATCCAGCAGCTGCAAGTGGAGGAGTGGGGAACCAAACCTGGTTCTCCCAGATTAGTGTCCAAGCACTTAACCAAACTGGCTCTTGGTTTTACCCTAACCAAGTCTATTTGAAAATAGGTTTCTGCTATCTATGAATATCTCTTGGTCCTCAACCAATACCCCCCCATCTTTAAATTCTATCTTAACTTCTGCTGCTCTTGAAATCTATGTTTCCTCCAGCACCTCACTCAGAATATAAGAACATAAAAAGAGCCCTGCTGGATAAGACCAACAGTCCATATAGTCCAGCATCCTGTCTCACACAGTCTGGAACATACTTCCTATCAGCGTCATTGGATGCCCCTGAGTTCTAATATTTTGGAAGAGGGAGAAAATTTTTCTCTTTGTCAACTCTCTTCACCTCTTCACTCCCTCAGTCATCTCTTTTCTAAACTGAAAAGTCCCAGACTCTTCAGCCTTTCCTCAGAAGGAAGGTGCTCCAACCCCCTCATCATCTTTGTCACGCGTGTGTATCTTTAAGTAGGTGGCTTTCTATTCTATTGTGAGGTATTTAACCTGATAGAATGGGGAAGGTCACAGGACTTCCAGGCATCTGTGGTGTTGTTCTTCGCTCTCCCTTCTTGGTGTCTTCTCCGACTGAATAAAGCTGCCCTGTAAACAACGACTGGGTGTTGTTGTCTATCAGATGAGGCAGATCGCCGCAGAACACTGCAATCTTGGTCGCCCTCCTCTGTACTCTACCCAGCTCTGCAATCTCTTTTTCGAGGTACGGTGACCAGAACTGTACACACATGCAGCAGTAGAGCTGAGTTTGATTCCACTTCTTGGATTACTGACCAAGCTCCCAAGAAGGCAGTTCTTTAGTTGATGGCAGGGTTGGAAAGAGGGAGTTGGAAGGAGCCTTGGAGGTCATCTAGTCCAGCCCCCATGTCAGTGTCAGGCAACTACAGAGCATTCTCAGCTGGGCCTCCCAGCCAGACTCTGACCAGACGTAGATGTGCTTAGCTTCACTAGGGTTGCTACATCAGCCTTTCAAGTCGCGCTCTTAGAATGACAGGTCAAGAATTTGTGCGCAGAAGAACTGGAGGCCAGAGGGTTCCCCCAACAAATCAAGGCACACAACCCAGAACAAAAATTTGTCCTCTTGGGAGGAGCGACACAGCTGATACCCGAGAAATGCTGTAAGCAGCTCAAGTCAGTGAGCCCAGCCAGAAGCTTCTCCACGTCCTCAAGTCAATTTTATGGAATAGAATTTGGTATGGATAAAGCTCTGGGTCACGCCTTGGAGGCAAGAATGCACAGTTGCCAACTCTGGGATGAGAAATTCCTGGAGATCTGGGGTTGGGGAGGAACCTCAGTGGGGTATAATACCATAGTCTATTTTCCATAGGAGCCACTTTCTCCAGGGGAACAACTGACCTCTGTAGTCTGGAGTCATGCCAGGAGATCTCCAGTATCTACCTGGAAGTTGGCAACCCTCAAACAAGCAGAGAAGGACAAGTGGGCGGGCAGAAGCCTCTCTTCCCTTTCCCACAGTCTGCAGTTACTCCCGAGCCGTCACGCTGGAGCGACGCTTGCAGGGTAAATCTTTCCAGGCGAGGCGGGGAGCGCATCCTGGTGGCTCTCCCGAGTGGTTCGCTCGAAGGGTTAAAGGGAAGGAGTTACAATTCCTAGAAAGGCCTCAATAGGGAAGGCCACGTGACTTTTCGGAGACGCTTCCTGCTTGGATTTCTTCCGTGGGGAAAGTTGCCTGCAAGTTTCCCAAGCGAGAAGTCCAGCCTGCTCAGTCGGAGGCATTGCTGGCCGAAGGGGACACGAGGGAGCCATCGCAAAGTAGGCAGGCGACAACTTCTGAATCAGACTGAATGTATCTGGCAACAACCCTACGGGGTTGCCATATGTGGGCCCTTCATCTGATTTTTATGGTTGTAGTGTATGTTCTCCTGCCAACCTAGCAGCTCGAAAGCAAGAAATCGCAAGTAGGTAAATAGGTACCGCTTCGGTGGGAAGGTCACAGCGTTCCGTGCGCCTTGGTGTTTAGTCATGCCGGCCACATCACCACGGAAACGTCTTCGGACAGCGCTGGCTCTTCGGCTTTGAAACGGAGATGAGCACCGCAACCCTAGAGTCGGACTCGACTGGCTTTCGAGCAAGGGAACCTTTACCTTTACCTTTTAGTGTATCTTACATTTTACTCAGTTTCATGCCAATATTCACATTTATAGCATCCCTCTCTGTTGTTATCCGTGGTTTGTAATGGCTCATGGCTAAATACAAATAAACGTCCATTGTGATTGATTGACGGCCCTTCCCACCGCCAAGAAGGACCCTGGTAGGGGTCTTCCAGTGGAGATTCTCAGGAGGGGAGGGGAGTGGGTGCAATTGCACATGCAGGCAACTGCACACGCTTCTGCATACTTCATAGACTCCGTTAGTATTCGCATGTAAGCTGAAATACTGGTCTCCATGAGAGATTGTGGGGTGTCCACGGGATCGCCTCTTTGGCCTTTCAGAGGAGCCCCGGAAACAAGCGTTTTAAATAATAACAGTAATCATATTGGCATTTCAATAGGGCCCCTCAATGTGCACTGCGCAAAGTTTGAAAAGAATGTTCTAAATATACAAAGCGGATCTCTTGAGTGTTAAACAAGAAATTTCTGATTGGTAGTGGGTGTTTGAGGGACCCATCAGCACCTTTTATATTATTTGTTTGTTTGTTTTGTTCGCCTGCACAGCAGCTCAGGGTGGGTTCCATCAAGCACAGTATAGAAACAATTAAAACCAATTAAAATGCATCCAATAAATTAATATATGCTGTATTTTCCATCCTGAAAGGACTGTGGGGTCTTTTGAAAGGGACAGGAGGAGCCCTAGGACAGTGGCCCTTGGTCAAAGTCACATTAAGTGGTGGCTCATACTGAGATGTGAGATCCTGCTTGCTGGGGCAGGAGGGGGGAGGAGGCAAGGATTTTGTATCCTGATGGCTCCGTTTAGGCTGGGGCTTCCCTTCCTGCTGCTGAACGTTTCTCCTCTTATTCTTCTCCACTTTGGGTCGCTATCAGGATGAGCAG